TGTCTATATCTATAAAATTTCTATTTCTTCTATAGGCTACATTTTCTCTATAAATATTAAATTTTACAAAAAGTACACACACGCACACATATATTTATAACATACATAACATCTATATAACATGTATATTGTTCATTCTCTCTCATTATGTATATGTTTAAAACACACACATATATATATGTTTAAACACACACAGGCGCACAAACACACACACACACACACATATATATATACATGTATATTGCTCATTCTCTTTCACTATATGTATGTTTAAATCACATGACCCTGGGTTTCAGGATTTTGCGATCACCAAACAAACTTGTTTAATTTTTATGCTTGTTTGACTATGATTGGTGGTGGGAGTGGAAATTGACTTCTGTTTTTGTTTGGGGTGACACTGTCATGTGCATAGACACACATACATACAGGTGTACGCATTTTAGTTCACATAAACATATCCATATAACCAATGCGAGGCTAGGCGCAGATACATAGCCATGCTTTTGGGCATACATCGATATACACATACATACATAGATGTAATTCTATTTTGGTGTCGAGATATATATGTAGCGATGTTCCTTTCAACAAGCGGTTGGTAGGGGTGTTTTTGTCGCTTTTCAGATCTACCGCCCAGCGTCATCAGAGAAACTTACACTTCCTCACACACACACAGACACATGTAGATACGCACATACACTCCTATTGATTTGCCTCTTTAGTTAAGTTGGGTTCTGTTTGTGGGCATGGTGATGATGATGTTTGTATTTTCAGCGTTTACTGCTTGTATGTTGACGATTGTGATTATGTCGATAGTGATAAGTTATTTATTTTTTTTACTTAATGATTAGAGTTTTTGTTTATTTATTCGATTTCAATTTTTTATTTTATTTTATTTCTTTTTTTCAGTGTTCCAATTTAGTTTTCGATGTTTAAGAAACGTAGTATATATATATATATATATATATATATATATATATATATATATATATATATATATATGTATATGATATGTCCCGGAAAGGGATATATTTGAACGAAGTAGCTAAGTAGTTTTGGCTACTATAACCAAGTAGAATATTGTAGCAATAATCGACTGGTACGCGTCGTAGTCACAGGTAAGAAATGTAGATCAATGGCGTAGTCCAATGGGCGTCGTTATAGACTTAGCTCTCAGACTAAGTTTCTTGACTCTTCTACACGTCCGTCGGTATTTATGACGGACACCAGCCAATCATATTTCAGTGAGGGGGAACACAGGTGTATGCATATTCCATTATATCATATATATATATATATATATATATATATATATATATATATATATTATCTCTATACAGGGTGATGGAAAACTAACCATTTTGAAATACTTATAATTTATTTATTAAATATAATTTTTACAAGAAATGGATATGAGGGGAAAGCGTTTAGCATGAGGTTTCATTTAAAATTCAATATGGGCACCAGATTTCGCTACCAGCTTTTCGAGTCGCCCAGGAATCGCGTCGACTGATTTCACCAGGAAAGGCACATTTTTTTTTTTTATTCGGCTTTCAATTTTTTTACAAAGTCTTGCTTTTGTGCAGTAAACTTACTACTTTAACCAACTCCAAAGAAAAAGTCACAGGTTGTTATATCAGGACACCTGAATGGCAAATCATAACGGAAATCGGGAGTTACTTTTCAATGACACTGTTTATTATATATATATATATATATATATATATATATATATAGGTTTTGAACAATAAAAAATATAAAAATTAAATTTTTCAGACACACTGGGTTGTATATTAATATATTTTTGTTTTATTATTTCAATTAGGTTCCTCGACTAGGAGAAAAAAATCCCTGCTTATTAGTAGCAGTGAACTACAGGAGTGAATGACTGTCTCTGAAGAAAGTGAACTTTATCTAGAGCTTTCATTTGCCAGCACTTGTATTATTTAAACGGTCTCTTTCAAATTGTTTTTAAGATAGAGGCTGGGAGATTCCTGAGTTTCAGAATTCTCTCCTTGGTCATTTTGACAGTTTTATTTGTTGCTGAGAAGGGGAATTGTGTGTTACCGCAAGGAAAGTTGGCTCCCTGTGCCGCGCCAGGAAATTCTTCTCCCCGGAATCGATCCTCCACAATTCGCCCTTGCATGGAGTATTGCTGCCATATATGGTCTGGGGCCCCTTCTGTTTGCCTCGGGGTGCTTGATAACATCCAGAGGCGGATATGCAATATAATTGGCCCTGTTCTGGCATCTCGTCTACAGTCACTCTCTCATAGACGCGCCGTCGCCTCTCTCTGTCTTTTTTACAAATACTTTCATGGCAATTGCTCCGAGGAGCTGCTTTCGCTGGTTCCCAGACTTCATGAGTTCAAGCGCCCTACGAGGCTGGCATCCCGCTCTCACTTTTTCACTGTCGAAACTACTAAATGTAGCCGTCTCTTCTACTCCAATAGCTTCATGTCTCGCGCCTCTCGCCTGTGGAACTCCCTTCCCTATTCCAGTTTCCCTGAGAGCTATAATCTCCAAATATTCAAATGTAATGTCAATCGACATCTCCAGTTGCCTTGATCTATTCACTATCCTTCTCCTCATCCTTTCCTCTATCACTCCTATCTGATCTTGCTCCAAATCTTCTGTAACCCATTGCGTCCTAGTGGCTTCTCGCCTTGCTTGGGGTGAAACGCTTAAAAAAAAAATTTTAAATCCTTGGGAGTGTGTTTGATGTGTGTATATGTATATATTAGTATGGATGTGTTTGTAAGTGTGAAACCTCAACATTTCTGCAAGCATGTCTGTCATGTGTGGGTGAGAAATGTTGGTTGGGATCGATTTATGTTGTTATATATTAATAATATCTATATATCTATGTTGTTAAATTTGTGATTAAGCCCGTCTGGATAAAAATCCACTTGTCTTCCTCTATTATTTTTCACATTTCTGTCTATTTCTAGTTTTTCAGTTATGGTGAATTTTGCATGGCTTTTAAAATAATGTTTTTTCTAGACGGAAATGTTTTTCTTCAAGTAATAATCTTTCGTGGGAGCCGATTGTATCCAATTCCGATAATTTATTCATTCTGTAGTGAAAGACCCATTCAAATTCTCCCACATATTGTTTCTGGCATAGTATTTATTCCAATGGGCAAATTTTGTTATGACTTCTACAGTTAGAGCTTTAGTAGATTTTGAAAGCAGATTTAGTGAATGAGCTAGTGATAGAATTGGTATATCTAAATGGTTGCAACATAAGTTCCTTTTGTTGCTACATTGTTTGGAAAATCCAGTTGTTTTTATTTTTGCACCATTAGGAGTTACCTTATCATCTGAAATTTGGTTACTACCTATAATATTCTTAAGGTTCTTAGGTCTACAATATGCTAGATGGCCGGGTTCCTCAAACAGAGTTTTTAGGTCTAGTTTGAGATTTATTATTTCCCACCGACTTTTGATTATCTGAGATTGTGCAGTAGGATTATTGTTGAAAGTGGCTACTAGAGAGATGCGGCTGGCTTTATTTTTAATTTTATTCATTAGAATGTCTTCTTTAGGTGTGGAAATTGCTTTATTTATTTGTTCTATGATTAGGTGTTGATTTTAGCCACGTGTTATCAATTGATTGCTCGAGATTTTTAGTGTGTTTATTTAGTTCCTCATTGTTAGAACATATCCTTCTGAGTCTAAGTGCTTTTGAATATGGAGCCTTCTCCTTGAGCTGTTTAGGTTGGGAAAACAAAATGTAGATAGATATAGGTGTCGTGTGTATTGTCTTTTGTTGTTTTCTGTTTTTATCGATGTAAATTTCGAGTGTCTAAATTTGTTATTAATCATGTTGATTATTTTATGGTATAACTTAATGGAGCCATGTGCCGTGTTTAGGGTCATAAGTAATTCAATGAGTTTCTTCTCACTCGGCGTATGTATGAAGAAGATATCGCTATATCTTGTATAGAATACGCAGTCGTAACCGATGAACGGATAAATATGAGTCTCCTCAAAGTGAGATATATAATGGAGCTGCAACGGTGCCAATGGCACATTCTCTTACTTGTAGGTAATGTTTTCCATTGAAATCGAAAGTATTCGATACAAGAATATGTTCCATAAGTTTTATGATTACTTCTGAGGTGGGGTCTTGTTTTCTTCTTTTAGTACGTGTTTCTCTAAGGGTCGTTAGTTCTTCGATGTTTTTGATGTTTGAATAAAGTGATCTTACGTTCATGGTTAGTTCAGTATCATTTTCTAGCACTGTTTTTATTATACTGTTTACTAAGTCTGTTGTGTCTCTGATGTAGGAATTTACTTCCTTAGCTAGAGGCTGTATGTAATGGTCTACTAATTTGGATATTTTTGGTCGTGTGGCAGTTAAATGATGAAATGGCTGGACTTCCTCGGTTGTTATCTTTGTGTATTTTGGAAAGGAGATAGAAGCAGTCACGTGTGATGTTTAAGGGTCTAAGTATTGTGTATGTTTCATTGTGATTTAGTTTGATTAGAAGTATCCTGTTTGGCGAGATTGTTATTTTTTATTTTGTATTCAGGGAGAGGGTCTCTTTTTATAGGTGTTTTTGCCGTCTAGCTGATTGTTGGCCTCTTAAGTTATTTGTGAACGTATATATATATATATATATATATATATATATATATATATATATATGTGTGTGTGTGTGTGTGTGTGTATATATATATATATATATAGATAGATAGATAGATAGATAGATAGGTAAAAATCTGCAGGTAAATGATCCAAGTGAATCCTAATACTATGAAATATTAAAATTGATCCACAAAGAGATCTCAACGTGTTTATTATAACAGAACATATATAAATAAACAAATTATATATAAGATAAATGCAAAAATACCCTATTTCAATAGCTATTTCACCCCACAGGAACTACATGTAGGACATGTCAACAGCAAGCGGTTAGGAAATAAAATAAAAAGATAGCTTAAACATTTGTAACTTTTTTAAAAATCAAGAGAGAAAGAGAAGAGAGAAAGATTAAAACAAAAAAGGAAAAAGAAAAAAGGAAAAAAGAAAAGAAAAGAGAGAAATAATGGAAAAGGAGAAAGAATAATATAACTGAAGACGCAGCAAATCGTCTTGACAAAGCTTAAACACAATTTCATGGTGGTAGTAGCGCATGAATAGATTGATAGATAGAAAGACAGATATGAAAAATTGATATATAGATAGATGTATAGACCTGAAAGACTGAGATAGATAGATATATAGATATGAACATACTGAGATAGATAGATAGATAGATAGATAGCGTATAGGAATTGACGGTTCGATCGGAGGCCGGTGTAATTTACATACCTCGGTTGTTGATTCTTGTTAACTGAAAGCTGTTACCTTTTACTAATATTTTTTATAGTTACAGAGTCTCATGACATGTTACCACGTGATCCCTAAAGTGGTTATAAAGGAAACTTTTTTCCTCCTTTTCTTCGCTATTTTTGTAACCTAATCAGACGATTAAGATACGTTGTGGAAGGGAATAAGTAATTTTGCTCCTTTCCTCGGCCTGCACCGTCTCTGGGCTTTTTTTTAGTTGATTTTTTCTCGACATTTTGCGAAAACATTAATTTCGCACATATCTGATATGGATAACAGAAGAGTCGGATTACTGAGAAGGGTTTCTGTTCTGGATTCCGAGATGAAATCCGGTCTCAAATGAATGACAAACGCAGGAATGAAATATAGCAAATAAATGTATTGACGTAATAATACAATTGGTAATATGGTTAGTAGATCCAGAAATGCGGTTAGTAGCAATAATAATATATATACAGTCTGGGAAATTCAGTATCGAAGTATTACTTCCTTCTGAGTGTACGTGCTCGCAACTGTGACTCCTACAAAGCGGTTACCACACTCTCTCACTGTATCAGTGTATCAGTGTATCTCTGTACTGTCTAACTCCCGGGTATTCACCGGCAGCAATACAAGTACACACTGGTCGAGTCCACTTGTATGAAAAAGGGGTGGACCCCATAACAGTTTCTCTTCTACGATCAAAGATCCCGACCATTCATAATGTTGATAGTCAGGGAGACGAACTTTTTGTGAAGATTTTTTTGGTTCTTTAAAAAAATGTGTTAGAGGATCTAACGGAGATCTGCGTTAACGAATTGCAACTGCAGTCTTGCTGTAAGGAAATCTGGATGGATATCGAGAAGGAATACTTGAAGTATTCATTAATGTTCCGGAGAGAGCACGAGGATCTGGAACGTAAATTCCTCCCTGTTGCAACTGATTCTCTAAAATTGTCGTCTCCAGGCCACCAACCAAACATGGATAGGATACCGTCCTTATTCGTCGTCAAACTACCACATATCCAAATTACTGACCCTACGTTCATTGGCCAGGGAATGCATACTGACCGGGTGAGTTTCCGAAACTTCTCATCTCGTTTTCAGAAATGTGTAGCAGGCATGGCCAACGATGCTGAGAGGCTTAACTTTTTAAAATGTTCACTCTCTGGGAAGGCCTAACTGCTGATCAACCACCTCGTTATCAGCAATAGGAATTATCGTGAAGAATGAATAACTGGATGAAGATGAAATCATCGACAATATTTTCCAAGACATACTAGACTTCTCGCTTAAGTAAGCTCGCCTCATGACAAAATTCTTAAATTCCCCAAAGAAGTTAAGGGTGAATTGATTCAACTCTCAAGTAAGAGAATTTCCAAATTGTCTTTCGCCTTAGGAGATACCAAGTGGGGTAGTTCGTCGGACACTGCCGATATTCCTGAGCGAGGCTTCTTTAGAGGAGCGGAATCCCGGCCTCGATCCAACACCACCCGGAAGGATTCTTTCTTCCGTGTTGACTCTGCATCCCGTAAGTATTCTGGGAGCTCAACCAATCTTCCGCCTGTATCCTTTGGTAGAAATAGTGAAAGTATCTCTGCTAATTGTTTGCTGGACACTGGTAGTGGACGAACCTATCTTTCCAGTGAAGTTTTGAAGCCCCTTGACCGTCTGGAGCCCTTAGGGCTTGATTGTGAATTCACGTTATCAACGCTAAATAGAGGCTGTGATAAGCGCTTCAAGGAGATACTCCTGGAAATCAATGTTGGTTTCAGCTGCCCACCTAAACTCCCAGTGTTAGTGGATGATAACATTGATTTGATGAGCTGGACTCCCTTTGAGACGAATTTCAGTGTAACAACTGTCCCCTTGCATGTAGGTTTGACAGAGGAACCAATTGTATTCCAATTAATGGCATCGTTTAGTTAGATTTAATTTAGCACCTAGTACACCTTCAGATGGTGGCTTGTCTGTATTAATGGGCGTTTTCGTTCTCAACGTGGCTTCCCGTGACGAGATTTCGCTCACCTCGACACTCTCGGGACGAGAATCGTGAGTGCCTTGCGTTTGATTCAGTGTTGCACCAGTGTTTTGTGTTGAAGTCTATGAGTACATATGAAGATCCTCTAATTGATTTCTTCCCTAACAGTGACGTAGAAAGAAGTTTAGAAAGCATGGAATCACTACTGATTAAAGAACAATGATTGTCTAACTATGATGAGCAGATGGTCGCACTCCTCAGACAATCTATCACATTCAAGAACAATAGCTATTACATTCGACTACCTTGGCAGTCCGAAAAGATATCTTGTGTCCCTTCCAACAATTTTGTGACCATTCGCGTCTTAGACCATGTGGCGTGGAGATTGTAACGCGAAGGGCTTTATTGAAACTACTTGAAGATTTTCCGTCAAGAAAAACGTGACGGAGTAATAGAGGAGTTTTTCTACCCCCTCACCAGTTTAATGAATATATTTGGATTCCGCATAGGCCTGGCTTGACGGCAGATCCCACTAGAATTTGGCCTGTTTTTAACTGCATTCTCAAGACAAATAACTTCCTTTCTTTTAATAAGGCTGCCTACCAGAGAGTGAACTTTACGAGTGACCTGATGAAATTACTGCTATCATTTCGAGCAAACAATCACATTGTATTGGCGGGTATTAGGAAGGCCCTCTTAATGATCCGCCTGGAATTGGAGGCCGGTAATAATAGGTTCTGTTTCTTCAGGAAAGACAACGTTAGCCTACGTTGTTTCAGGTAAGCCACCATTATTTTCATAATCGCATCTATAATACATTGTGTTCTCCGGTACAGTGTTGCTCAGTTTCCTTTGGATACTTGTATGATGAAGAATAGGTTATACGTGAAAAATCTATTGATCACCAGTGATAGTCCAAACGAGGTATGCAACGTATCTGCCCTTTCCAGGGAACGATTGCACCTAGAAGAGTTTGAGCTGCAGTCTTCCAGCTCTATATGTGAGGATTCAGGACAAAATGAAGAAGGATGGTACCATGAGTAGTAATGGGGATGATAGTGAAAAGTGATTGGGAATCGATACAATCCCCTCACTGACACACAGCATATTGCTCCCATAAGTTATGAGCCTACTGCTTCCACAAAGTCAAACAAACACTCAGAAACAGCAAATGTCCTTGACCCCTTGTGTTTATACTTGCCTGTCATTTTGCGAGGTCATATCCTTTTAAGTGATCTATGGAAGAGAGGCTTAAGATTGATTGGATGAGCCGGTTCCGTCCGAGTTTTCATTCAGATGGAAATATATTCCTGCTGATGTTTCCGGGTTCGGTACAATTACACGAGGTCGGTGAGATTTTCCTCGTCTGTGATGCATCACCAAAGGCATATGGGTTTGTGGCATATGTGGTGCAGAATTGCCGGTCTTACCTAGTTTTTTAATAGGCTAAGGTTGTACCCTTCAAGAGGAAGACTTCCTACCTTGGAAATTTTGGCCGTGTATTTGTCCCTGAATGCTTGCCCACTGTCTTGAGAGATTGCGGTGCGTTCTCCCCAACATAAATACAGGTAAACATGGAATATAAGGTGTGGTGCTCCCGTGGATCATTTTTGCATCAAGCGTTAGCAAGGACCTATTTGCCAGAAACCGGCTGAACGATATTTTTCAGATGGTTGCTGAATTGTAATCCTTGATCGGCTTTAACCCTTCCTTCTTGTATGTACTAACCACGGAGAAAACTGCTGATTTGATCACTAGCGGTTTGACCCTGAAAATGTTTAAGGCTTGCATTTAGTTCTGGTGTCATGGTCCGGATTGGTTGTGTAGCGGGATTACTAAATGGCACACACAAGATTTGAAATGTCTCAGTTAACGGATAGCCCATTCTTCATTGAATGCTGCTGTCATTCAGGGAGAGGAAGTCTCAATGCTTCTGCCTGTGGGCGTTAGTCATAAAGTTTTCTAATAGGTTGCGGCGGTTGGAGGTTGATAGTGAGAGACTGATCATACTTCTGTTGAAGATAATGCAACAGGAAGCCTATCCTCAGGAATTGGCATTCTTGACGGATCCTTCAGGCACGAGCGTGCCTAGGTTGGTGGGGACCTTGATCTTTACATTGAATATGAGGGCCTGGTTATGTCGGGCGGCAGAATTGGTAATTCTCTTCATTTCAATATGGAAGTTAAACAACCAATTCTGTTAGCAAAGCATCACCCGATAACCAAACTCCTCATAATGGATGTTCATACCACGTGTCAGCACTAGGAAGTTGGGTCCACGTTGGCGGAAGTGAGACGAAATGGTTATTGGGTGTCCAAAGGAAAACAAGCTGTGAAAACTGTCTTGGATAACTGTGCTTTGTGTAAGAGGCTTACTCACGTGTGGAATTTGAGTGGGTTCCTTTCAGACATAAAGGAATTGACTCCACTGGGCACCTTTGGATTATCCATGGTGATAGTGAGGTGAAAATGTATTCGCTCATTTTCACTTGCCTTAGTGTCAGCGCCCTACAGATTGAGGTGGTGCCTGAATTGAGTGTGCTGTCCTTCCTTCAAGCTTTGATGCAATTCACCAACTTGTACAGCATTCCATCTGCCATTTACAGTGATATTACTAAGACCTTCCTGGGTGGTGTTCAACTGTTCAGGAAGTTATTGGAACCGGTAACACCGAGAATGTTTTGCAGCCTAGTGTGAATCCTGGGCTGCTTTTGAACCTGAACGAGAGAGAGTGTGCCTTCTCTGTCGCCGCCTCACAGGGAAGGACTCGTCAGAGCCATGCAGATGCGAAACTGGTGCCAGGAAAAATTTAGGGCCTAATGGTAAAGTGAGTACCTTTTAAGCCTCAGGGAGAGACCTCAGGGCCGTTCCCTGATGGCGTTCCCTAAGAGACTGCAGGCTGGGAATATGGTACTAATCAAGAGTCCTCTTAAAAGCAGACCATTTGAGGCTCTGGGTATGGTTGTGGAGCTAATTCATGTTCTCAGGGCAGCCAGAGTTAAACAATGTTTGACAGTGCACGTACACTCTTTGAAGCACCAGTTCCCACTGAGTTGTCTCTGTCAGTGGACAAAGAAGATGGAGTGCTGTCCTTGACCTCTTCTGCTAGTGCAGCTGCAGATAGAGTCCCTCTTTATCCATCGCCTTCGGATGTGAAGGATGTGACAGCTGGTACCATTTCGTGAGTATAGGGTCGAATCTCCACCCAAGTCAAAGAGCTCAGTGTAGCAATAATATATATATATATATATATATATATATATATATATATATATATATTATGAAATGGACAAAAGTCCGACAATTCTTCAAAAGACATTTTTATGTTTAACATTCTTTTTATAGATAAAAGTATTTAAGTAAAAAGTATGTTAAGCATAAAAAATGTCTTTAAATAATTGTCGGACTTTGTTCATTTCAGAATATATATATATATATATATATATATATATATATATATATATATATATATATATATATATGTCAACAAAATAATTCTTGATAACATTGTCTTTTTTTATATTAATTTTTTTTTTGGTTCCCGGGAAGGTGTGGAGAAATTGACAGGGGAAGAACTAATGTACCTACATGGGTTCTCGTGATTCTTATTGACTAAATATGTTAACTTTTACTATTTTTTTTAATTACAGGGTCACGTGACTTGTTACCACGTGACCCATGAAGACTGTTATGTCTTTCCTCCTTTTCTTCGCTATTCTTCTAACTAAATGCAAGTTACCAAACGATTAAGCTACGTCGCGGAAGGGAATATTTTTTTCGAAACTTAATTTTTGCTCCTTTCTTCGGCCTGAACCGCCTCTGGGCTTTTTTTGAATTGAGATTTTCTAGATAGATAGATAGATAGATAGATAGATAGATAGATAGATATGAACAGACTGAGATAGATATATTCAGAGATAGAGATGAACAGACCTAGATAGATAAATGGAAAGAGACTGAGATAGATAAATTATGAACAGATTGAGATAGATAGATATGAACAGACTGAGATAGATATATTCAAAGATAGAGATGAACAAACTGAGATAGATAAATAGAAAGAGACTGAGATAGATAGATAGATAGATAGATAGATAGATAGATAGATAGATAGGAGAAACAGGGAGAGCAAGCAAGAGAGACAATTGAGATAAACATAACTTGCTTGCATTATGTAAGCCATAAATATGTTCTTCATTTCAATTTATCTACTAAACAGAAATTAATAATTCATTTCTATGATTAAGGAGATAGATAGATAGATAGAGAGAGAGAGAGAGAGAGAAAGAAAGAAAGAAAGAAAGAAAGAAATAGAGAGAAAAAGAGATAGAGTGTTCAAACATACGTATGTGCGTGATCTGCGATCATATTCTCATTTTCATTGAGTAGTTCACGTTCAGGACTTTTTCAAGGATCTTGTCTTATGATCACGCGACATGTGATAACACGGTTTTGGATTAGTTTGCTAGGGCAACTCGTTTTGAACAAGTCTCGTCTCCGATTTGCATGCAGCCTTCATAACCTGGGCGTATATTTAAAGATTCAATTTGAAACAACAAATAGTCGGTCAAGAGGAACTTGATTCGATTACTAATGCCTTAACCATCGTCACCCCGCTACTCACTAATCAATCACTGTCTCATAATCACACTTGGACGTGGCTCTTCGCACTCACTGTGTTGATATTCGTCTATTTTAATATTTCTTCATTCTTTCGTTCATTCTTCTCGCGTTTCTTTCTCTTTAGATTCCGCTTGGCTAGGGTACTTTTATTATACTCTTTATGCTTATATTTTGCAAGCGGGTGTGAAAGACGCTAAGACATAGCAAATCTGATCTTACACATGGCTGCATTATTTTATGCCTATAAGCGCTTGTGTATCTATCTCATCAATCCAAGAGTACCGATAGGGTCATTGACCACCCAAACACCTGACCAGTCCACTTCAAATACCCGAGATAAAAGCCGGATATTTATTCGTTCATATTGAGTAAAAAGAGCTGGAGGAATCCATCTCTATAGAGGTCAAAGTACAGCCGATGTTTTCCAACTTCGTCTTGACACGTTGATTTCAGACTAGAATGATATCATTAAACTTTTTGTATGCGCAGCTATGGAGCCCAGTTTACCCGTTTTGCTAGATGACCGTTAACCCCTTAATAGTTCATCCCCAATTTGACGTATCATATCCCTTCATATTCCATTGGAACGATATAAGATCCTCTTGGGCAGCTTCATCTCACGAACCGCTCCTTCGCTTACATTTATTGTGAACAGCAAAGAAAAGGCGCCAGTTGTGACGAGAGCTGTCACATTGGTATAGCGGTTCCTGCATTCTGGTATGAATCATGTGTTGACCATGTTCACCATAGTCTATGAATATAGAATACAGCGCAGTACGTAATCTGTTCAATGAAACAACGTTAAAGATTAACACTCACGAGTCAGACACTCTACTGAATGTGAATATATCGTCAATACCACCAGCAGCTGTTCCGTAATTCTTCAGTCTTCGATATCAAAGGCTGGAAGTGCATATTCGGGAAAAAGATGGCCGCCTTTATACACGTCGCATTGAATATTTTGAGCCTTGGGATTGGTTAAACCTTCTATTGTTGAACTATAAAATGAGTCAGCTCCTTTTGGCTGGCTCACTAGTACACCAAGGTACCCAAAAATTCCAAACATGATTGAGGTTTCACCTGGTATTTCCGAGATTTGATGAAGCCATCCATGTGGGCTTTAACCTAAGAAGGAACCTCAATGGCGTAATTTTCAATTGGGAGGTTAAAGATGTCAGTCCAAGGGGCGTCACGTACAAAAACACGGAGTCCCAGTCAGTATGCTGGCAACGGAAAGAGGTCTTATGAATAGGGGATTCCTGTTTAATAGATGATTGGATCGAAATATCAATAGATACCACAGAGTGGTCTGAGTTACCAAGAAATAGAAATAAATATCCGTAGTTTTCCATTATGGTGATTTAGTAGCTTCTATCTATCTATCTTACTCTATACTTAACTTTATACAAATATATCTGTCTATCATTCTATCTCTCTCGTGGCAACGATTAATAATATACTACCCCAGATTAATTTTATATATTAACAAAAAATATAATATTAAAGGTTAATTAGCTCTATGAACACCCCCCACTTCTTCTGTTTACAGAGATAGGGTTGGTAGGACTTAATATATACGAATTCTAAAACCTCCAATTGATAATGCCGTATAGCATGTCAATGTTCCCGAGGACATTGTTGTTTCTTTAATCAACTCTTATACTATCGCCGAACCGGATACATTGACATATCTATGTCGATTGAAAAATATATTCCAATGAAATTTCAGTCGATGCATCCTACGACATTCTTTAATTTTCACAGACATCATTATTTTATGATTTAATAGAACGACACATTCTTTATACTGAATTTCCTTCTCACAATTTTTCGCAATTCGATACGATTTTCTGTAAACATCGAACGAACAGAAAAAATATTAAGATTCAAATTCAAAAAGCTGTGTTTTAAAAGGGAATGGCAACAAATCTTTTTAAGCACATGCATTCTTTATTCTCCATCAACATCAAGGCATTTGTCTTAGTGACTATACTAACCATTTGAAATCTGACGACCATGAAATGGGTTGGTAGGGTTCCAATTATGGGCAAATAGTGAACATCAAAACTGGGGTGAAAACATGAAAATACAAAAGTACATTAGAAAAATAAATTTTCATAATAAGGAAAAAAATTAATTAATTTAAAAAAAAATATTACTTGCAATACATTTAAAAAATTGCAAAAGCTCACAAGAAAATAGAATTTCGACATTAAATGGCCCATAATGTGTTGATATGCCGTAAAACAAACAAAACCAAGTTTTGAATCATAATCTCATGTATTCTTTGGAGTTTATAGTAAAAATACCAGTAATACATTTTCATAGTAATAACAATTACCAGCAATACATTTCTATAAGAAAAACAAAGTATTAAATGTTACCTGCAATAACTTTTTTGTAAAAAAAGTTACAATTGCTCCTGGTGAAATTAAATTTCGGCATTCAGTGACCCATAAAGAGTTGATATACCGTTAAAAAAACAAAACCAAACTTTGAAATCGTTTCTGGTAGGCATTCAATTATTTTGGTATGCTCTTGGCCGAAAGCTTCTGAATACCAAATTAGGAATTATAATCCCAATACACAGGATAACCCAAGTGTCCCAGCAATTCTGTTAACTAAAATTGATAAATCAGCCAGAATTAAGTGATGACCATTAATTAACTATTCCAACAGTTAACATAGTTAAAAGCTTCCCAGAACGTACTTACAACGTGGGTCTTAAAATCTTCAAGCTGGAAATTAAAACACTATAGTTTAATATGACAAACACTTGTTCGGAGTGTTTTCATCATAATCTCATGGATTCCCTTTGGAGTTTTCTGCAAGAACAAAGATTTCATGACTACCATGAGTTCAACACTTGAAAATTATACATTTTAAGTTGGGATGTTCAAGTCAATAATTTGAAACTTTTGAAAAACAATCGCAGAGTTTCTGCAGATTGGTTCTTTATGCTAGGAAAGGAACTCAACTGAAAATTGTTTCCTTTAGAAAAGAAACCGTTTTCAGCCCCTTTTAACTGAGGTTAAAATATTATGAAAATATAAAAATAACATTTTTATAGTAAAAATACCAGTAATATATTTTCATAGCAGCACAATTATCAGAAATAAATATTTTCATATAGATATAAATTAATATCAATACATTTTTTATATAAATAAAAAAGCTAACCGAGACTCCCAAGAAAAATTAATTTCCGCATTAAATGACCCATAAGGTCTTGATGTGCCTTTAAACAAACAAAACCAGACTTATTATCGTTTCTGGTTGGTAAACTCTTGGCCGACAGCTTCGGAATACCAAATTAGGAATTACAGGCCCAATATATTGGATAACCCAAGTGTCTCTTGAATTCTGTTAAGTGAGAATCATCAATCAACCAGAATTAAGTGATGACCATTAATTAACTATTCCAAGAGTTGACATGGTTAAAAGATTCCCAGAACGTACTTACAATGTGGGTCTTAAAATCTTCAAGCTGGAAATTAAAACACGATAGTTGAAAATGATAGACACTTCTTGTTGCGAATAGTAACAAGTGTTTCTCATCCTAATCTCATGGATACTAGTAATACATTTTCATAGTAATAAAAATTACCAGCAATACATTTCTGTAAGGAAAACAAAACACTGCATATTACCAGCAATACGTTTTTTCTTTGTAGAAAAAGTTACTAATGCTCCCAAGGAAATTAAATTTCGGCGTTAAATGAGCCATATGTGGTTTATATGGGGTTAAACAAAACAAAGCAAACCAAATCCGTGAGGGCTGAGTGTGTACTTCTTGGAAGGTTCTGTTTTCATGAGAGAAATAAGTAGTTACCTTGTCGTGGTGGAAAAAGGATTTGCTGATGTAGATTTTCACGTCGCGTTTAGCGAATTCTCTCAGAAAATTTTTTTTTCCCAATTAGATGATGCCACACTGTTTGTCGTCACTAAATATTAATGTATCAAAAATGATCTCAGGTTCAAAGACAAAATTCCTCTTTGGATTTGTATTGACTGGGTTTATCCAACATTGCGTAATATTTGTTTTAAAAATGGTAACAGCAAATCCAAATTTCATCTCCAGTTACAATTAATTTCAAAATGCCTTTATTATATTTATCCTATTTGTTTGTAATTTCAGTTAAAAGCTCTGCTCTCGTCAGCTACTGATCTGGACACAACAATTTTAGTTCCCAACGAGCAGGATGTTTGCACAGCTTTAATTTTTCACATGAGATTGTGTGATTTGATTTGGTTTGTTTGTTTTGTTTTAAGGCATATAAACATCAATGGGTTATTTAATGCCAAGATTGTTATTGCATGTAATATTTTTCTTCCAAAAATTGTTTGTTAGTAATACTTTTTCCTTCAAAAATGCATTGCTTGTAATATCTTTTCCTCAAAAATGTACTGGTGGTAATATTTCTTCCTTCAAAAATGTATTGCTGGTAATATTTTCTCCTCAAAAATGTATTGCTGGTAATATTTATTTTCTCTAAAAATGTATTGCTGGTAATAATGTATTGCTGGTAAAAAAAATTCCTCAAAACGTTATTGCTAGTATTAAAAACTATTTTACACTTTCATAATGTTTTGACTCAATTTGGGGATTAACTATTTACACATAGTTGGGACCCTAAAAGGCGCTACCATCGCTGGTCAGCGTGAACATGGGAACACCAACAGTTAATAGATAGTTCTACGCTCCTCAAAACCTCAGGAT